GGGCAGTTGCCTAAAAACTCTTATAATAAAACTTAAATACCTAAAAAAGCTATGCAATAAATTTTTTAGGTAGGGCACCCCCCACACCCTAAGAGGGTTCGGCCCCTGGATTGATTATTGCACATTTTGATTGTGGTGGAGGCTGTGACTGAAGATTGTTATTGAGATGATATTATTGGTTAGGTGGTGCTCCTTTTGTTTATCTTCTTTTGTAGGATGACTTTCGTTTGGTTCTTGGTTGGACTTAAAGATGATTCGAGCTTTGCATCATATGCCTTCCTATAGCTCTTTTTGGGATATAGCTTTTTGCTAGTCGTTTATATTTCCTGCATACTTTTTGTATCATAGACATGGATCTTTCACTCATTAGACTTCATTTTCTTTTTGCTCTTTGAGCAATTAGAGAATTTTGGATCCCTTATAAGGACTTTGTACTCATTTTTTAATGAAATAATATTAAACTTATATAAAAAAATCATAATGTGGTGTGTAATAGGTCAATCAAAATTATCTACTATCTATATTATTCGATCCAATAAACCATCAAAAGTAGGTGAGTTAACCTCTACTTTTTCATGTTCGTTGTCCGATCCTATTTTTACAATTTTGATTGCCATTTCAATTAAAAATAAGTGGGAGTAATATTTTTCTTTGGTGTAGAGCAGTTTGTGTTCAGATCGGTCAGATATGGAAATCCGAAATTACGGTCAAGTTCAGTTTTTTTTTAATGGTGGATCGAATTTAATTGTAAATTTATGCACAATAAAGATTTTCCAAAACTTTTCTTGGGACTTTCTAAAAAGATACTTTTACCCTCCAGAGAAATTGTATCCAGCCAGTCGATTTTTAGCTTAAGAGCATAACTTCGTCCTTCACTGCCTAAAACATAACATAGAGTGGCGCGGTAATATAACATACTTTTACCCTCCAGAGGAGATGGTTGCAGACTTGCAGAGGAGAGATAGCCACTTCTTTCTCTGTGCGGTCGATGATTTTCTACGAAGATGAAGGTTTGAGGTTATCGTCAATAAGCCGCCGGCGTAGTTCTCTGTTTTAGGGCAATTTTTGCGATTTTTGGGGCGTCGAGGTAACCCGCAGAAGGTATTTGATCGATCTTTGTTCGAAGATGCGGCTTTAACTCGATCTCTACTTATTATTCTCTTTTTATTTTTTTTTCCTACATTCCATTCTTTAATTTCGTTATAAAGAGCATTTTGTGATCTTGGCCTCCTTCACCCTTTTTCGTTCTCTTTTTTCCCTTTGTTAATGGGGTTTTCATCTATTCCCTTGTACTATGCAAGATTTGATTTTTGAAGTCAATAAGGCTTGCTTTGTTTTAATTATTGTTGGCAATGAAAAAAAAAAAAAAGAGGACTCGCCAATACATGATTGGAATGTTTCTTTCCCTAGCTTCATAAATTGTTAGCAATCCGTCCTTCTGTTTCCAACTATTGATTTTTTTTTCACTGTATGATTGTATCAACCTATCTTTCTCTCTGATTTTTCCTTCATGATTAACTGACTATGTTATGTAAAAATTGCTAATTTGAATTTAGTATTCCTTAGCTTTGATTAGCCTTCTCAATTTATTGCAGTTATTCCACATAGTTATTATTGATCTGCAAGGTAAACTCTAGAATTTGAGGTATGAGACTTTCTTCTTGTTCCCTTTTGACTTGGTTTCTCCATGTTTACATAGATTTTAATAGCATTGATCTTGCCATCGACTGTTTTCCTTATCCCGGCCTTCAAGAAGAATGTTTGTGGGCAATAATACGAGTTCGACTTTCCCTTTTTTCTTGGAGGAGAATCCAGTATACTATGATTCCAACGCATCCACGCAACTCGAGCTATTTGCAAACAGTGAGTAAAGTTTTACAAGTGATTTACCTCCCATCTTATTTTTTCTTTTATTTCTGTAGATCTAACATACAATTTAGCAAAAAAACTGGCAAACATTATTAAGATATGCCTTGTTTAGTGGAAGGAGCTGAAGATTTATTTTGGCATTTCACCTCCATTAACTCTTTTTATTTATTTGATGAAAGATTGCATTGTGTTTATGTTCAGTTCTGAAACATCATTGGCGACGCTTTTTTGCTTCGCGTTCAACTTGCTTTCAGTTTTCTACAGCAATATTTATCATTGATGATACTCTTGGTGTTTTTTATTTTGCCTTGGGTTGGTCCGGATAAGGCGCCTATCTGATTTTTATTTATTATTAGCTTGATGAGGCAAATTACAGTTGACGTTAGTTTCAGTGAGGTTAAGCCTTTGAGGGATGTTTACTTCTAAAGGAGCAGAATATACATAGTGGATACCTTTAAGGAGCTCAGGGGTTTTGAGACTTTTGGACTCCCATGTCTGATGAACAATCTATAAAGGAATATCTGCATATCTCATTGGATGCATCAAACGACACATTTTGTCAGAAGTAATAAAAAAAAGGGAAAAAAAAACTTGTACATTTTAAATATAATCTAAATGCACGCATGACACATTTCTAGCATGATTATTTAATAGACATTCTATATATTGGGCGTGCATTTATACCCTTACATAATTACCGTTTTATGCAAATTGCAATTAATTTAAAATAGAAAGCTTCCAACGGCCTTCATTAAATGAATTGTAATTAAAGCATTCATTATTATTTTTGAGATTAATGGTACATAACCTATTTATTTGGCCAGACTAAAGATATGCAGGATAGTATGTTAACTCTTGGTGGGTATGGACCAAATTTTTTAAATAAAATATCACATGAGCCTAGGAAGGAGGTTTAGCATACCCCTACCAGTTTATTAAGTAAAATAAGTCACTATCCTGCTTACAGCTTACAGCAAGGTTTGGCCCAACTGGTCCTCGTCTATTTTCTATTTATATATTAAAAAAATGTGAATATGAATTTTAAATTCACACAATTATATTTATAACAAGATTCTTAGGAATGGATTAAACAAACAATAGAGTGAAAAGCATTGAAACATAGACATCAACATGAGACACAAACATGATACATGATGTCGAAACATTGATATGACATGCTAGGGACATGATGTTCTCTTTTATAGGTTATTAATACAAAATGTATAATTAAAATACCTATGCCATTATTTTTTGTTAATACAACTATAATTTATTCTTTTATTATAGACAGTAAAAATAACTTAAGATTAGTAGATTACCTATAAAAGAATCTAAACCTATATTATTAAAAAGCAACATCAAGATTGTTTTTTCCGAAAAACCTAAAATATGAAAAATTGATGTAGAACCAAGTCTTAAATGCAAGTAAATTTGATATAATAGATTAAACAAAAAAAAGTAATATTAGTTTAATTACAATTACATTGTAATATTTTATCAAGTGTACTTAATTTTGAATTATATGCCAACATTAGCATTAATCACTAAACATGATTTTGATATTATGTTATCTACAACAACGACAACATCAAGTCATTATCCAACTACGTGTGTCGGTTGTATGAAACCTTTTTTTTTCATTTGTCTTATTAAGAGACAAATTCTCATTTATATCTAATAATGAAAGGCCATTTCTAATATTTTCTAATCTTTTCAGGTCTACCTTTACCTTTCTAAACATAAGTCAAATCGATTACATCTGCTTTGCTAACTGGATCATCGAAAGGTCGCCTTTTATATGACTAAACCATTTAAGGCGACTCTCTAATACTTTCTGCCACTGAAGCTACTCCAACCTTTTCAGGTATATGCTCATTTCGTATCCTATCTCTAAGAGTGAAGCCACTCACCCACCTGAGCATCCTTATCTCTGCAGCACTTAACTTAATATTATGCTTTTCTTTTAATGGCCAACATTCTGCGCCATAAAACATTGCAGGTCTCACCACCATCTTATAGAATTTTCCCCTAAGTTTGAGGGGTACTTTTCTATCACACAAAAAGCTCGATGCATTTCTCCACTTCAACCATCCAACTTGAATTCTACTAATAATATTCCCATCTATTTCACCATCACTCTGAATAATAGACCTAAGATATCTAAAACGTGTACTCTTATTAATTACTTGATCACCCAAAGTCATGGTCCCCCATTAGATTTATCATTACTAAAATTAAACTCCATGTATTCGGTTTTAGATCTACTCAAACAAAAACCTTTAAACTATAAGGTTGACTTCCATAATTCAAATTTACGTTCAACTCTTTCTCTAGTCTTATCAACAAGAAGAATATCAGCAGCAAAAAGCATACCCTAGGGTACATCCTCTTGCTAATGTCTAGTAAGAGCATCCATGGCTAAAGCAAAAAAGATATGGGTTTAAGGCTGATCTTTTATGTAATCCAACTGAAATAGGAAAATACTTTATAAAACCACCTCGTGTTTGAACACAAGTAATTTCTCCTATATATATATCCTTAATGACTTGAATATAAGCGTTATTAACCCCTTTCTTTTCTAGAACTCTCCAAAACACTTCTCTTCGAACTTTATCATTTGCTTTCTCTAAATCAATAGATATCATACGTATATCCTCCTTATTCTCTCTATAATTCTCCATCAAATCTCTCAATAAATATATAGCTTCCATAGTAGACCTACTCGGAATGAATCCAAGTTGATTTTGAGAAACATTAGTATAATGTCGTAATGTATGCTTCATAACTCTGTTCCATAGTTTTAAAGTATGTCACATTAATTTAATTCCTTTATAATTCACACAAAACTTTTGCATCACCTTTATTCGTAAAAATAAGATTCAATACACTCAATCTCCACTCATCAGACATCTTTTTTGTCTTCAAAATAATATTAAAAAGTTTAGTAAACCAAGAAATTCCTTCATCTCCTAAACATTTTCACACCTCTATTGGAATATCATCAGGTCCAATAGCTTTTCTACATTTCATTTTCTTTAAAGCCTCTTTAGTTTTGGTTTTACTAATACGCCGATAAAAATAAAATCTCTAATTTCATTTAGAATGCTAAGGTTACTAAAGTCAATCGTATTCTCACAATCTTCATTGAAAAGTTTAGCAAAATATCTCATCCACCTTTGTTGAATATCATCTTCTAATAAAAACACTTTTCTATCTTCATCTTTAATGCACTTCACTTAAATTAAATCCTTACTACTATCTCTTTGTTTGGTTAACTTATATATATTTATATATATATATATATATATATATATATATATATATATTTTTAAAAATTACATCTAATTTTTAAAAATCCAACCTAAATTTAAAATTTTCCTTCCATGGCAGGCGAGCCGGCTCGAACTCGTTTACAGCGAGACGAGCTCTAGTTCGAACTCGCTTTTCATGTAACGAGCTGAGTTCGATAAGGGTCAAAATCCGACTCGACTCGACTCGTTTACACCCCTAGTAACATGTCAATGGATCTCAATTAGACAATTAAATTACTGAGTGATAGACAAGTATCAATGTGCATGTGACATACTTTTGGAGCTTTGTGAAAAAGCAAGGAAATTAATTGGGAGACAGTCTTTCTGCATGTGACACTGTGGACTTAATGCCATCAATTCATTTGGAAGAGAATAAAAAATTATTCAATAAATCTTTATTATTATTTTCACTTACTTTCATGACATTACATTGAAGGCTTATCATTTAGCAAATAAAAACCAGCTTAAACTTCATCGTCTCATATCTCTTCTCCAATTAATTTACGATTTTTTAATAAAATATTTTTTATTAAAAAAAAAATTAGATTTAAAAACTGATTTAAAAAGTAATCAACTAATGATTATCCTACAGCTTAAGCATTGCTTCACAAAAAAAAAAAAACCAAACGTGGAAAGGAAAGAAATAAAGCAGGTTTGATCTTGGGATAATTCGGCTAAACAGCAAAGAAATAATTTGAATTATTTTTTAATGGACTTAATTGGTAATTAGAGAATCAATCCTGATTTTGCTCATATGGTGACCGGCGGCATCCTTGGACTAGGGAGGATTCAATGGGAGCAATAAAAACTTTCTAATTTGGATTCTGAAATGGAAATAATTATTTTCAATCCAATTGAATTTGTTAATTCAAATTAAATTGAAAATATAAACTTTTCTAAAATAGTTGAGTTATTTTAAGAAAGATTTTGAAATTCAAATTTAGAAAATTGAATTTCAAATTTATTCTCAAACTAACCTACACCAAATCAGTAAATTTCAAGACTGGGTATGTACTGGATTGGGGCCGGCGGCTAGAACCTGTGACCGGCGGCTGGATCGGGTGGGGACTTGACCGTGGGATGTGAAGGGGAAGTAAGGTCTCGGGTGGGGTTTTGGGGAGATGATTGGAAGGGGTTTTGGAAAGGGGAATGGTTGGGGTTATGGCCGGTGGTGGTGAGTGGAAAGAGGGGGATGCTCGTGGAGGAGGTAAGGACAAAAAAAAAATATAAGACCACGAACCTGGCCGTCTCCAAGGTTGGTGGGTGATTCGCCGATCTCCCTCTCCAAGGGATCTCTCCAAAACTCTCCAAGAACTCTCAAAGGCTCTCACAACACAAGAGTAGAAGAAATTTCATCATAATCATTCATTGCCTTGAAAATAAAACAAAGGGGCTTTAAATAGCCTCATACAAAAGACTCTAACTGACATGACACAAATGTCCTTAGGCTTACACATGACCACTCCCATACAAAAGGGTACAAAGAGAAAATAAATAAACACATAAGCAAATAATAAAATGCATGAAAATAAAATACATCGACTCAAAAATATAACGAATCGATCGTGGCCGTAGATCGGCGGCCACGTCGCTGGTAAACTTTCCATGATGATCTGATGTCCCCATCATACTTAATATCACTAGTTTTTTTTTCATATAATATTAGTTTCCTCATGTACAGACAAAATCTTAAGATAAAAAATTTTATTCTAAAGTTATATATTTGTTAGTATTTTTTAAATTCTTCCATCTAATATTAGAATAATGTTTTACTTTTTTTTATATTTTGTCCTATCATCTTAAAGTCTAAAATTAATAAACGATGTTGGGTACATAAAATTTCACTTGGAATAACTTTATAATCTTTGCAATCTAAACGATCTATTTTTTTCTTACAAGAAAATAATCAATCTGAGTTATACTATATCCATTCTTATGAGTGATGAGATGCTCATCTATTTTCTTTAATAAGGTATTAGCAATTGCAAAATCATAAGCTAGAGCAAAATCTAATATTGTTTTATCACCTTCATTAGTACTCCAAACTCATAGCCACCATGAATGCTTTTAAAATCATCTCTCTCTACAAACATGTGCATTGACTCTTTTCTCAAAAGGTTTCTTTTGTATTAATTTTTCTAAGTCATTTCAAAATTTTAATTTTGAAGAAATATCTAAGCCTACTTAAGGAGCATAAACACTTAGACTATCATGGATGCAACTATATGCACGCTTTTTTATTTTTATTGGAACTTATGGTGCATTACAATATCCTTAAAGGATTCTACTCTATGTTGGTCCTATTTATGAGTTTTTTTTTTTTCACCAACCTGAGCAAGGCTTTATCTACATATTGAACAATACTTGATACAATTTCTTAAATTATTTTGGTCAATTCAAATTCTATTGTCCTTGTTTTTCTTTTTGTTGATGCTTGCTAAATTTGAACATTTTTTGGTGAAACAATATCATCATATATTTATTCAGTTGGACTCAATCAATATTTGGAGCTCTTGCTTATTTGGTTTGGCCTTTACTTGCATTATGTGTAAATCTTTTTTCGGAGCCCTGCATGGATACTCATCTCCTACTTCCTGATAACTTATCAACATTAATTCTTTTAGGCGATTTTTTTGTTGATTTTCTTTGTGCTAAATTTCTATTGCAGTTCCTGCTGTTTGCGATGCTGATCAGCTTAGGAATCCTGTGCCTGATGTTAATGATGTCTCTAGCTTAGAACTACCAATCAAAAGAAGCAACGAGTCTATAGACATTGCTAGGCAGAACAACCTACAGATTTCGTTGAATAATCTTTTTGACAACAAAGGTGAAAGGTCAGAAAGCATTCCCAATGTGAATACTGTGTCCACTGGTCTTAGGCTGTTCTATGATGACGATGAGCCTCATTCCTCAATCAGAACTGCAATGGGGAGCATGCCCTCGTTACCACTTCCAACTCTTCTTGATAACATATGTCCTGAAATCGAGCTTCAAAATGAAGAATTCAACCGTTACCTGAGAATGCAGGTGCTTTAATTTCTACATTGCTAAATCATTTGTATTTCCTTGCATGCCTAAATTTGATAAAAACATTTGAAATTTATCACAGGCAACTTCATTTTAATTTCTTTTCTAATTGCCCTGGTGTAGTTGCATGTGGAGTTCAAATTTTAGTTTTTAGGTATGACATCTTCCTAAATTAGTTGTAGAATCAATAAAATCTTTAGAAGATTAGAGGTTTAAAATTAGTATGATGAAAATTTAGGATATGATTTACAACATTAATGAATAAAAAATAAGAAGTTTTGTTATAAAAATTAATTTTTAATGTAAAAGTTTGAAAATTATGAAAGATATAAAATGGCCTATACGGAATCTAAGAAAGCAATATGCGATGCAAAGAATTTAGCTTTTAATGATTTATATAATAGATTATATACTAAGGAGGGTGAAAGATGTATATATAAGTTAGCCAAATAAAGAGACAGGAAAATAATGATTTAATTCAAGTGAAGTGTATTAAGGATAAAGATTAAAAATTACCTTTATTAGAAGAGAATATTCAACAAAAGTGGATGAGATATTTAGATAAGCTTTACAATAAAGATTATGAGAATACAATTGACTTTAGTAATCATATCACCCTAAATGAAAATAGAGATTTTTTTTTTAATCGCTGTATTAGTAAAACTGAAGTAAGAGAGGCCTTAAAGAAAATTAAGTGTGGATAAGCTGTTGGAACTTATGGTCTTCCAATAAAGGTGTGGAAATGCTTAAGAGGTGAAGGAATTTTTGGCTTACAAAACATTTCAATATGATTTATAAGAATAAAAGAATGTCAGATGAGTGAAAAAGAAGTGTGTTGATTCCTATTTTTAAGAATAAATGTGATGCACAAGAGTGTGCGAATTATAGAGGAAATAAGTTAATGTGTCAAACTTTAAAACTATGGGTGAGATTTGTTGAGCGTAGGTTATAGCGTAATACTAAGGTTTCTCAAAATCAATTTGGATTCATGCTAGGTAGTTATACAATGGAAGCTATACATTTATTGAGATGTTTGATGGAGAAGTATAGAGAGAATAAAAAGGATCTACATATTATAATTATTTATTCATAGAAAACATATGATAAAGTTTCAAGAGAAGTGCTATGGAGAGTCCTAGAAAACAAAGGAGTTAATAATGGTTATATTTAAGTCTTTAAAGATATTTATGTAGGAGTTGTTTCTTATGTTCAAATACAAGATAGTTTGACCAAGTATTTTCCTATTTCGATTGGATTACATCAAGGACTAGCTTTAAGTCCATATCTTTTTGCTTAGGTTATGAATTTCCTAACTAGACATTTACAAGAAGACGTTCCTTGGTGTATGCTTTTTGCCGATGATATTCTTCTTGTTGATAAGACTAGAGAGGGATTTGAAAGAAACTTGAATTGTGGAGGTTAACCTTAGAGTCTAAAGGTTTTCATTTGAGTAGATCTAAAACCGAATACATTAGTGTAATTTTAGTAGTAATAGTTCTAGTAGGGGGATTATGACTTTAGATATCTTGTATATATTATTCAAAATGATTGTGAAATAGATGGGGTTATTATTAGTAGAATTCAAGTTGGATGGTTGAAGTGAAGGAATACATCGGGCTTGTTGTGTGATAGAAAAGTACCTCTCAAACTTAAATGAAAATACTATAAGATGGTGGTGAGTGATAGAAAAGTACCCCTCAATGCTTTTTGGTGCAGAATGTTGGCCATTAAAAGAGAAGCATAAAATTAAGTGTCATAGAGATGAGAATGCTCAGGTGGATGAGTTGCTTCACTCTTAGAGATAGAATGTGAAACGAGTATGTATGTAAAAGGGTTGGAGTAGCTCCAGTAGCAGATAAAATTAGAGAGTCATCTTAGATGGTTTGAACACATAAAACACCATGCTTCACCCGGTTAGGATAGTATATGTATTGGATTTGTTCTATGTTTAGAAAGTTAGTAGCATGCCTAAAAAGACTTGGCTAAAAATATTAGAAATGATATTTTTTATTAAATTTGAACGAGAATTTGACTTTTAATAGGACACAATGGAGAAAAAGAATCCCCACATAATGGGATAAAGGCTTGATGTTGTTGTTGTATTTACAACATTAATGGATTTAAATATGGTAATTGTTAGTAAATCAAAATTAAGAATATTGTTGGAAGATTTAATTGATAAGTAGGTATGAAAATTTTAAGAATATTGGGTATATTATATGGAACAATGGGGATGCATATTGAGATTTAACTTGAGTTTTAGTTGAAATGTAGAAATGCCTCAACGTATTATATGATAAGAGAATTTCATTTAAATTTAAAATAAAATTTATAAAATTATAATGAAGTTAGTTACCATGCCATTACAAATTTAAATAAGCTCTTTCATTTAAAAATACTTAATAATTATTTTACAAACATAATTAATAGAATTATTGAAAAATAATGTTACTGTATTTTAATTTGCATGTTCATTATCATCGAGATATTTTAGGTTATTCATATACTCAAACAATCATACATTGAAATACTTAAATATTCACACCAAGCAAATTCTTTGGATTCCTTTTTCTTATTAAACTATATTGATTTCTCACTTATTGCTCATCTTAAGCTGCACAGGCTTCAAGTACCTAGTGGATTAGGTCATTATCTTCATGGTTTAGCTAATATTTGTTTAGCCTTTTGCAGCATTTAGCAAATTATAAGATGACACTGCACCAAGAGTAATTATCATTAAATCAACTAGCAAAGTTATGTGTTAATAATATAAATGCTGCCCTAAATCTTATCTGCAACTGCACATCTGTGAGGACTGGTTTTATCAATATAGAGGTTGCCATATAAGTTATTTTTGATGCTCTGATAATTTATTGTTCGTGAATATTTTGATAGACTAGAATTAGCATCAGCAGAGTGGAATTTAATCTCTGTGCATTTATGTTTTTGATCCTCTGGTGTCAAATCCTCGTCTTTTTTTCCATCTTGGAAGCTTCTTTGCCAAAGCTAAGTGGATTCTTCGCATTGTCACAGGAGGAACAATTTGTAAAAGGTGCTACAGAGATCCGGCAGCGGCATTTTTCTTCTTTTGCGAGCATGGTTGAAGCTGAATTTTCAAGGAAGCTCCACGACAAGGACCTGGAGATCGAGTCTATAAACCGGAAGAACCGAGAGCTTGCCGACCAAATCCGACAGGCCGCCGTTGAGGCTCAAACATGGCAGCAGCGTGCCAAGTACAATGAATCAATAGTGCACGCTCTGCAGAGCAGTCTACAACAGCTGATGGATCAAGGGGCTGTTGCTGCTGCAGCTAACCATGGCAGGGAAGGGTGCGGCGACAGCGAAGTTGTTGATTCTGCTACATCCTTTGGTCTTAATTCTGTCATGGATGGTGGCGACCGTTGGCAGATGTCTTTGAGGAGGGCTTGCAAAGCTTGTAAAGGGAGGGAGTCGCGTATGCTTTTGTTGCCCTGCAGGCATTTGTGCTTGTGTAGGAGTTGTGATGGAATGGTGGATGTCTGTCCTGTTTGCTTTATTAGGAAAACTGCGAGTGTGGAGGTCAACATGTCATTGTAATGTTAGTGAGGGGGGAGAGTGTAGCTGGTGGAACTTTCCTTCTTCGTCGAGTAAGACTCAAGATTAGTTTTCTGCAACTGCGCCACCTTTTGTACCTTATCGTTTTTTTTTTGGTTTGACTTATCTTCTTTGTCTGAAGCAGGTAGGAAAATCACTGGCAGAATGTAATATAGTTCTTAATGCTTTAATGCATGAAATGAAAGGAATCCATGCTGTGGATGATATGATTAATAATAATAATAATATATTGATTTAATTATTAAGAGTAATTTAAATGTATATTTTTATTCACGGGTGTAAATGTCCGTGCATATTTATAAAAATTGCTAAAATAAAAAATAATATAATAAATCTTAAAATTAAGTTATGATATGTTATATAAACGACATTAAATGTTAGATGAATATTAATATGCTCTTAAATTATTTATACATAATAGACATTTAAATTTCTATTATTCTTTGAATATATTCATTAAGGATAGATAATGAAGCAGGTTTATATAATGTGGATATATTATTACCTGCGGAGATATATTATTACCTGCGGAGATGGACACAGAATCGTTTGATTTTGTTTTTGTGAACAGTACAGTGAACTGTACCGCATAAACATGGAGGATAGATAATGAAGCAGGTTTATATAATGTGGAGAGATTATTAACTACAAAGCATCTTGATTCTGAAGAAACTTAAATAATTTAGTCTGAAATCCAAGACCTAACATGATATTCAATATTTTGAATAATAGTAAGCACTCCTTTTTGTGACCCATGGATGAATGGGGGCTCCTTTCTTGAAAAATTTGGGCCAAAAGTGATTAAATGGTTCAATGTAACATTGAGGCTAAGGCGGGGAAATTTATTAACAACGTTAATTGGTTCCTCCTCAAATGTCAACCCCAACCCTATCCCCTTGAACTTATTTAAAAAAAACCCATACACACATATTGCTTCATGTTAAATATAAATTATGTATCATTTGTTGTGTTTAAATTAAGTAAAAATATTTTATTTTAATCATGTTTTGTAGAAAATGTACATAAAAAAAGTAAAAAAAACTATAATTGCTGACCAGTACCGCAATGCCATCAAATAAAGCACCACATCATTATGATCGTCAATGTTGAGGTGCCTAATTCAGACATTGCAGTACTAATTTTTCTATTTTCTAGCATCAAAGCGACACTATGGTTAGTGCTGATGCACCCAAATTCAACACCGCAGTGCTGGAGCCTCGGGAAAATGAGCACGAAACTCATAGCCTTGCAATGCCTCAGTGCAGAAAATCACATTCAAGTGACGCATCACTCAAATTCTGGAGTGCCATTGTGGAGCAATTGCCGAGATAAAAAGCCACACCAACTCAACCAAAAGACGTGCCGGTTCAACCATTAATTATGCCAAGTCATCCAGCACCGCTGCGGAGCAAGCATTATAGCGCTGAGGTACTAGTTCATTTTATACCCTATAGTGTCACCTTGTCGAGCACCACAGCGCCAGAGTCCATCCCTCTACTTCCTACAAATAATTTTTTAATTCTATTATTTAAAGAGTTCTATCATGAGCAAAAATTTGTAATTCTTAGTGTGTTTCTTTAGTACCCTCTTAGGGTAAAGTTTAAGGAGGCTAGGGAAGTGCAAGATACTTGTATTGGGAGATCTTAGCCTGTCTTGTGAGAGCAACTCTATTGTTAGAGAAATGAGTGTGCAGAAGATCAATTGATCATTCTGGGTGATAGTTTTCTTATTACTTCACTTGTATCTCTTCTATAAATGAATGAAATGAAAATGAGTTTGTTTGTTGCATCTTTTATGTCTGATTAGTTCTCTTGTTTTGGGCTAATGGTGCAAAAGTATAGTAAGTGTTAATGTAGACTCTTGTGTCTTTAATGGAGATATAGATGTTTTCAATATCTTCCGTTCTTCATTTAATGCATATAATGATCATGTGTATAATTAATTTTAGGGTGATGATGTTGTGGCTTTTAATTTTAGTAATAAATTATATTGATTTTTTTTAAAATTTTGATGGCAATATAATAGTGTTGCATTTTGTAATATCAAACAACAAATAAATTAGGCCTGTCAATTTCTGACACGACCCGAAAATCCGACCCGAACCGAAAAATCCAGGTTCGGGTCAATCTGTGAATTAAACGGGTCGGGTTCGGGTTTAATTTCTTGACCCATTTAAATTTTGGGTTGGGTTCGGGTCAGCCCGCCAACCCGCTGTTGACCTGACTAACCCGCAACTACTTAAATTTTTAGGGTTATTTCGACTTTCGAGCGAGAGGCAGCACACTTCAGCCATTCGCGGATTCGCCTGTTTTAGGGTTTTCACTCCTCGTCTCTCCTCTCCTTGCTCTATCTGTCTCTCATCTCTCTGGATCTTTAGGAGAACTGAATAGTGAATCTATGTCGTGGAGTTCTGTTGCTATTTTCTATTCTTTTGCTATCGAAGTATCGAGTATCGAGCTCTTGAATCCTCCTCATTGCTGACTTTCTCGTTCGTGACGGTCGGTAATATCTTTAATAACTCACGACCTTTTGTTGTTTTGGAGTGTTGGTAGGACGTTTAGGGCCTCAGGCGATGTTTTTTTATTTCTATTTAGTTTTTGGATCGAAGATTTGTTATTTCTTTTTGTAGAAATTTTTGAGTTTTGCAGCTTTGCCTATCGCGATGTTTGAGGTTTTAAGCGTTACCGATTTGCCGATTTGGTGAGTCTGTGAATCGTGATTTCTGAAATGAGTGAAATTTATAGATGGAGGAAGGAGGGTTAGTCGATTTGAGACTAAGAGCTTTAGGTGTGCTGAAATGTTGATTAGGGTTTCTTTGTGAACTTGAGTCTTGAGATCAGGAACATGAAATCTTTTATGTTTTTGTCACTACATCACTGAGCTACTTGTTGCTATCTTATATGTTGGTTATTTTGAGTATGGAACTATCAACTATGGAAGCAGTCGATATTGTTCATTATTCTGTCGGCCTGCTGACTGCTGAGTAACTGAGTTGTTGACATGTTATTGCACTGGCTGTTGTTGACACTTGTTGTTGACTTGCTGTTGGCTTTGGCTACTTGGCTGTTTCCTGTTGAGTGTTGGCTATTTGGGTGTTCTTGATTTTCTGTTAAATCTTCACAACTTCAGTTCAGCTTTATGATTATTATTTATTTAGTTCATACAACTTAAATTTAAATTCAAAAGCCATGCCATCATGTTGAATTGCTGTGATGATTTATGGCTTTAATCAATTAATTGCTATTTTTCCTATGCTTATACAATCATATAATATGGAGTTGTGATGTGGAGTTATATAATTTTTTTAAGATGGAGGATTCAAATACAGTTGTTGCGAGTAATCCTTCTGAACAGAATGAGCACGTGCATGTTCCTACTGATAATGAACAGGAATATGATAGTGATGAGCTTAATAATGCAAGTGGAACATCTCAAAAAAAAGAAAAGGAGATTGACTTCCAATGTGTGGGGACATTTCAAAATGTTGCCCCTTGCAAAGGATGGAAAACAACGTTGCAAATGTAAGAAATATGGGGCTACATATTTATGTGACAGTAACAATGGTACATAAAATCTGAGACGTCACTAGCAAAATTATAAGAAAAAAGAACTCTCAAGATATAGGTCAACTTATTCTTCAAAGTAACTCAAGTGCATCTGTATCTGTGGTTGAAAATAAGTTTGATAATGAAAAATTTCGCAGCTTATTTACTGCATGTATAGTTATGCATGATTTTCCATTCCAATGTGTGGAATGGGCTGGTCTTAGATTATTACTTCGTTATTTGCATCCTGTTTTGAACATTGTTTCTAGAAATACAGCACGACATGATT